CTTCTCCTGCTGCTCTGGTTCAGTTTACATAGAATTGGCTACTTAGTTTTTTTGACCATGCACGAAAATGGGAGAACCCATAGCCTCGAACCACCCAAAAAGGCGACCGAGTGATGCCGCAACCTCAGCACTTCTGCATCTCACCGCAATGTTTAGTTCGTACCTTCAGGGGGGCACTCATTCATTTCCTCGTACCTTCAAAGTGGCATGCCCGTAGCAGACACAAGGACTGCAGGGCCGGTAATTCAGGCATGTTTTCCCTCCTGTTGCCATTTATGTCGCGCTTTCATGTTGGGATGAGGGGCACCTAAAAGTTCGCAATTCATGTGTCCTGCTAGCAGTCGTCCTATGCTTGTTGGTGGCACAGTCGGATGCCTCGCTGTAACCTGCCTCCACGGGGGCCTACAGGCCAACTCGCCTCGACTGGCCAGACAGTCTGCCCCCTGACTTTAACCCCAAGCAAACCAAAGCAAAACAAAGGGGCTTCATGACCTGCAGCGAGCAAGCGCGCAAGCAAGCAAGCAAGCCAGCAAGCCAGCAAGCCAGCAAGCCAGCAAGCCAGTAAGCAAGCAAGCAAGCAAGCAAGAGAGCGAGAGGCGCGGGCAAGGGGGGTAACCCTCTTGCCCCTAGCCCTGCCGAAAGAAAAAGAGAGAAAGATAACCAAAGTTGCCCGGGGGCTTTGACCGGCCCTACGCCCGGGAGAAAGATAGAGAGGGAACCAAAGTGTCACCCAGACCGAACACAGGCGTAGAGCTGCGCGCAGGGGCTGCAGGGGTTTATCCTTGTGCTCCAAACGCCCCGCAAGCAAGCAAGCAAGCAAGCAAGAGAAACTGAGTGCCCGAGTAGAGTAATGTCTGGCCCGAAAGCTGAGTAGCACAGGTGAATTCTCCGAGGGCAAAACTATGATACCTGGACTGGGGGCATGCCACGAGGAGAACTGTAGTCACGAAGTCAGGGGGAGGAAGGTACACGTCTGGGCGCCTCCTTAGCGTGATGCAATCCTCTACGCTGTTTTGTTTGAGACGTGCTCTCTCCTCCTATAGTTGGGGCTGTATGCCTGAACTCCCTGCTTCCGTTCGATCCACTCCAAAAAGGGGTGCGATGACGCACGAGGGAGGGGGGAGACCCCTTCCTCAGTCCCGCAAAATGCAAGAAACGAAGGAAAGAAAGAGATAAAAGGAGAAAAAGATAAACAGAGCAAGCAAGCAAGGACAGAGAAAGAGAGAGAGAAACCATCTTGGCTCAAGTCAACCCGCCGCTTCCCTTTGGGGGCGCCCGACCCGGTGGGCCTGCTGTTGGGAGCAGCAGGTCTGTCGGGTGGACGTCGGACGTCCCTCTGAGCTGGGGGAGGCTTGAGCCCTTGACCGCTGCCACGGGATCAGAGTGGCCCACGGGGGATCATTCCTCACCCCCCCGCGCCATCGCAGTCCAACACGGGGGTGAACTTTGCCCTTCGTGCTCTTCACTGCGGGGGTCCGGAAAAGCGACATGGTAAAGAACGGTTCTGATCGGCATCGCTACATCGAGGTGGGTGTGCCTGTGGCGATTCTGACGGGGGAGAACGGGTCGTAAAGAATAAGTTCGGTGAGATCGCGAAACTTTTTGCAGTCCGGCGACCTGGCAAGATGGCGAGTGCGGGGGAAGGCCCTGCCGAGAGGACGGTGGCGCCCACAACCACAGAGGGCAGGACACCCAAGATCTGCCGAGTGTGTCGCGAAGCTCGGGGGGTCTGCGCCAAAGGGTTTCGCAAAAACCAGAGGACAAGTGAGCGGGAAAATTCGTTCTGCAAGGTTTTTTCAGCGCGGGGGAATGCTTGAGGGTTGCTTTGATTCAGGTCTTTCGGCCAAGCGCTTGACTGTCTCTACGTTATGTGTGAGTGAGTAGTATACTTAGAGCTTCCCACCGCTGTCCCATAAAGCCAAAGGGTCATTTGTACTCCAACTTTTGTATGGCCTCCTTCTAATACGACGTGGAAGTGAAGCCTTGTTCTTCAACTGTATGTAGCCTGCTTCGGCAGATGTCATCGCCAACCAATGCTCCTTCTAGATAGTTGCCGACTTGCAACATCTAGACGCTAACGTTTTTGCTTGTGGCCCCAGGCCTACTTCTTTCAATCCGCCTGCCATCCGAGTTGCTAATTAGATTGCACAATCCTTCCGGGGGAAACCCCTTTCAGATTTGGGAGCAAGCTCTTGACGCCCAGCACCTAACATGTTTGCCCCTACTCGCCGGACCCTACGTCCTGTTGTAGCTGTTGTTGCATTCTTTATGTAACAGATGCTGGACCTCAAAAGTAGCAATTCTCTGCATAGGCTCTTCCCGCCCCCGTCGCCTTTGAGCAGGGAAAACCTGATGTTGCTCTGTGCTTACTCTCTTTTCGAATGTTCCTGGTTACTTCCTAATAGAGCGCAGCATCAACAAAGCCGGGGGAGCTTGCTTGTCATCGAGAACATACATACTTCCTGGCTTCGCTATCGTGCTCTATATGACTTTAGTCCACGTAAGTATTATGTTCGCTCTTCACACCCCTCAGCCTGCATGAAACATATGCGGTGGGCCTGTGGGCCGGGGGCTTTGACCAGCCCTCATGGCCGGCGGAGAGAGAGAGAATGTTAGTGTGGTCTGTTAGCTATGGCAGCTTGTTGTTGCGTCGAGGGGGACAAAGACATGAGACTCAACCACCTTTACTTTCAGGCGTCCCAAAGCAGTGTTGCAGACACGTGCGAACCCGGGAAACAAACTTAGGTGTGCTAACTTCTCTTGTTGGATTTATCCCGGGGGAACACGTCAGACCTTTTCACGCCTCCTTAAAGCCCCATAACACATGGGGGATCATCGGGGCCCTAGTGGCCGGGGGGCCTAAACCGCCTCCCATGCCTTGGCGAAGATGAGAGAGAGAGAGAGAGAGAGAGAGTCGGTCCAACACTCCTTTCGTACAGCCAAGCCCCTCCAACAAAATGGTGGAGGGGGTGCGCGAACGCGCGGGCTGCGGGGCAACCCGCCGTAGTCTTTACCCCAAAGCAAAGCAAAGCAAAGCGAGAGAGAGAGAGAGAGAGAGAGAGAGAGAGAGAAAGAGAGAGAGAGAGAGAGAGGGAAAAAGAGAGAGAGAGAGAGAACACTCAGTCGCAGCGACAGACAGTCTCGCAACTCAGCTTGTGCCAAGGTTCGCTCGGCAGGATTCGATGGGCCGAGAGCTCGAAGAGAACTACGACCTGCTGGAGAAAATCGGGCGCGGTTCAAGCGGGCAGGTTTTCCGGGCTCGAAGAAAAGCGGATGAGAAGGAAGTCGCTCTGAAGGTCATGTCAGCAACCAGTCCAGATGTTGTTGCGTCACGCCGCGCAGAGTTCGAGATACTCTCCCACCTGAGTCATCCCAACATCGTGCAAGGCTTGGACTTCTTCTGTTCAGGCAGCACTGCAGTCATCGCCCTGAGCTACCACTCGGGTAGCACGTTGTCTAGAGCCGTCAGGGACTCCGCATCTTCCTGCTTGATGGAAGCAGACTCGAAGCGGCTCTTTCGCAAGCTTATCTCCGCAGTTTCGTATCTGCACGAGCATCGCATCGTTCATCGGGATGTGAAGGCCGACAACATCCTGGTGTCGTCTGATCTTATGGACCTGCACCTGGTGGATTTCAACACCGCGAGGCCACTTCTGGAAGGTGGCGCTCTTACAATGACGGGGACAACGGAGTACGCTGCTCCGGAAGTCTTGAACGGAGAGTCGCCTTCCGAGCAGCATGACGTTTGGGGTGCCGGCTTGTGCCTGCACTGGATGCTGATGGGGGCCCTTCCACAATGTGCCAGTGGATATTCGACTTTGAGAAAGTTTGCCGCGGCCGTGCACGCAATGCCGGTGACATGCCAGGGCAGCCGGTGGGAAGCTTTCTCACCGGAATGTCGCGATGTGTTGCGGCGATGCCTGACCATTTCTAAGCATCAACGCCCGGCCGCAATGCTGGTCTTGCACCTTCCATGGGTAGTAGAAGAGTTACCAGTGCAGAAGAGACGAGCGACCAGCCCCACAATGACCTTCGATGACGCTATCGAGCTGTGGGCAACGAGCACGATTCCAAGTTTGCCGGACTCTGCAGCCCGAGCGCATACTCAATCCTTGTTTGTGCTGCAGTGTGAAGTCTGGTGATAGGAGCTGATACTTTATATGGAAAGACCTGATCCGCTGGGAGTTTTCCTGCTCGTTCGTGCGACCACGAGGACGCCTGTCAGTACAGTACACAACATGACAGTGGGATGCGCAGGGCTAGAGGGCAGATGTTTGAGTCAGGTTTGGAGGCAGGACACCACCGACCATTATTGAGGCAGCACATATATACATATATATATATGTGTGTATATATATATATATTAATTAATAGATGCTTCGAGAGCCCTGTTGCGATTGTCCTCCATTTGTAGGGACCTCACGGTGCAAATCCCGGGTGTCAGAGTGGTGTGAGCTTCTAGCCAAAGCCAGCCGCACTCATCACTCTCGTAAACTTTCCGTAGCAGTATGTATGCTCCTTTGCCTTACCTTTGGTTAGTAGGGAATGGAGGAATGGGAACTACTATAAGTACCATTACTACCATTCTTCCATTCCCTACTAGCCAAAGGTAGGTTAAAGGCTGTGACTGTCAGCAAAGCTGGCGCTTTCCATTTCCATGCCGCTTTCCATTTCCATCTGCAGGCCGACTGCCCTGCACAAGTTCCTTCAGTTGATTGCGTCTGAACCTGCGCCAGACGCATCCAAAAATCAACATTTGAGTACCTACCTGTTTTCCGACCGCCCGTTCAGACAGAGCGGGATTGTCTCAGAAGGCTGGTACACTTTGTCTCGAGGCATATGAAGCTCGATCTGGTCAGGACTTTACAGCTCTTCGTCATAGTTTTGAGTACTTAGACCAGATGGAGCTCTTTCGTAAGCCTCCCTGTAGGCCCTGTATGTTGAATGACTCATCTGACAAAGAAAGCACGGCTTCTGTACCACCCACTGTCTTTTTTCGACCGGTCTGGCACCTCTAAGCAAGTGTTTGGGATCTCCCAGAGCAAGGACTGTAGCCGAGCCGACAGTAGCAGCTGGGCCCAACATGCTCCAGAGGCTGTTGTGGCCTTTACGAGATGTTCGCCGCCTCTTCACGTGCCAGGCCTTGTTACCGGTGTTCGCAGAGCAGGCTAAGCTACTAGTCCCCAGCACTTAGTTGCCATGGACTCTGCCCGGATGGTCAGGTCGAGCATCGGCATCGACAGCACCGTTCATGCGAATTGAGGAGGTCGGATTCCCCGCAGCAACACCGAGAATCACGAGCCACGACCCAGTACAAAGACCGTGCATGTGGTGCCAGAGAGCGCCTGCATGGCCGCCTACATCACTTTCTGTCGCTATTCGAGCAGCTGAACACCGGTGCTGCGTCGAGGAGACTAAGACTGGTGGGAGCCAAGGTGAAGGAATAAGGGCGACCAAAAGATCGTGAATTCACATGCGCAGAGTGCCGGAGTCCGAAGACAGGAACACATGCGTGACCAAGAGTCTAGCAGTTTAGCAGGCAGCATCAGCAGTGGCATCGATATTTACCGATCGTTACTTGGCTGCGCCTCGCAGTGGCGAGCATCTCCTAATTTTAGACGAAATCTGATAGCCGACACGGTTCCTACTCTTCTGGCTAACCGACTCCCAAGTTCGCTCGCTGATGTTGGCAAATTCAGGCAGGTGCCCTTTACGCAAACACATGCACGCGCTGCAGGGCTCTAGGTCCATTCATGGCAAGCAGCAAGGGTGATGAGTTCTGGCTGTGACTTTCACGCAGCTACATGCAGCTAGATGCCGCAGACCCTACGTCGGGCCTTACGAGCTCCTACAAGTGCCACTTTGGAGCCATGTCGTCGTGGAGACTTCGGCGACCTATAGTTGGATCCTTTGGCCGCTGCTCCGCACCAGATGAAAGAACGAAACAACAAACCGCGACTGCGAAGACGAGCGACCAGGACGACCGCTCACAACTGCCACCACGGCTAATTACCGTCTGCTGCTGCTGCTGCTGCTGCTCCTCCTGCAAGTCCTCTTCCTCCTACTGCTGCGACTACTGCCGCTGCTGCTGCTTGCTAGAAGTACTACTACCAGTACTGCTGCTGCTGCTGCTGCTGCTACTGCTGCTGCTACTACTGCTACTACTGCTACTACTACTACCACTACTACCACTACTACCACTACTACCACTATTACCAC